GAGGAGGACGTAGGATGTGCAGCGTGTGTTGGACCCGATGCTCTGGCCAGCGCGACATGCGCGACGCAACTTCCTGGAGGCGATGGCCCTGGGTCCCTGCCCGTCGTCACTGGCCCCCTGCACTCGCCCGCGTGTCGCGCCCGCGTCGCCCATAAGTGGGCGCGGCAGCATATAGCAGAGCGCCGCAATGCAGTCCAGGCCAACGCAGAGCAGTCCCAAAACACCTTAGTCCAATGCAAAGCAATCCAAACACCTTCGTCCAACGCGCAGCAAACCAAACACCTTCGTCCAGAAAAATTCAAGCCAACGCTTCGTCCAGAGCGCTTCGTCTGGAACGCTTCATAACAATCCAAACCAACGCATAGCTATCCAAACGCCTTCGTCCATAACGCTTCAAACCAACGCTTCGTCCAGAACGCTTCGTCCAGAACGCTTCGTCCAGAACGCTTCAAAACAATCCAAACCAACGCAAAGCAATCAAAACACTGCGAAGCAAAGCGCAGTAACGTGTCGAGCTCATCAATGCAACCCCCGGGACCTTCAGAGCCCCCAAATAGCACCGAGACAGCCCAACAGGGTCCAGATAGAGCGCCAGGACAGTCGAAGAGAGCAGCATGATGGCCCAGGGTTGCCCCATGACTACCCAATATGGCTTCAAGATGGCCCACGAGGCCCCCAAATCAGCCCAAAAGCGCCTCCAGAGGATCGCCGAGAGGGCCCCAAGAGACCAAACACATCACATTCCCCTCGGAAGAACGCACATGTTCAACACATGTGCATTTTACGTTTTGACAGCGAACGCGACGGCCCAAGTGGCCCCCAAGATCGTCCCACGGCGGCCCATGATGCCTCCAAGATGGCACCAAGACGGCCCAAGAGGAACCAAAGACAGCTCCAGGGGCCCCCCAAGACGGCCCAAGAAAGCCCCTGGAGGGCCCCAAGAGGGCTCCAAGAAAGCCCAAGAGGGAGAATACGAACTGACATTTCGACTCTTTCCCACCGAGATGGCCCCTCCAGCCCCCGAGAGGCCCCCGAGGGCCCTCCAAGAGGCCCCAAGACGCCTCCAAAAGGCCCCAAGAGGCCTCCAAGACGCCCCCAAGAAGCCCCCTAACGGCCCCCACGTTCCCCAAAGCCTCCCACATGCCTCCCAGAGTTCTCCAAGAGGCCCCATATTGGCATCCTCAGAGACCCTCAGATTCATCCAGGAGGCTCCTAACCCAAGACGTAACTTCCACGATCGTCTCAAACACTCACTCCTTGTGGGGATCGGCGGAATGGCGCAAGCAGCCACTTGAATCTGTCACATTGCGAAGCAAAGCGCAGTGCTCTGTGTCCCTTAATAATCATGGGCCCCCAGACTACAAGTACCCCCAGAACTACAGGTACTGCTATCCCCAGGCTACAGGTACCCCTCTGCCACCCCCCGGACTACAGGTGGCCCCAGACTACAGGTACCCCGACTACAGGTACCCCCCCAGACTACATCCACGCGTGCGTTGACGCGTGAACACGCGTTCCCCCCCAGACTGCAGGCCCACCCTGGGCCACAAGTACCCTTCCTCCGGACTACAGGTGCCCCATCCGGGACTACTGGTACCCCGCCCCTAGTATGGAAACATCTTGAGTAGAACCATCGCGCGCGCTTCGCGCGCGCTTCGCGCGCGCTCAAATTCTACTTGCCATGGGGCCAAGCGTATAGGGCGTCAGAGGGGCCGTGTCTGGATGATCGGGTCCGTGGCTTGGAAACGCACGCCTTGGTGTCTGAAGTCGCCTTGAGACATTGTATTCGCGACAGTCCTGTGCTATCCTCGGGCAAAATTGCAACCCTCTTCGGGGCCATTTGGGCCTCCGAGGCCATCTTGGACCACGCGTTGGCAACACATGGGAACTCCGGAAAAGAAAGAACAACACGTTGGAACTCCTTTAGGTGTTCGACTGATTTGGCCCTCCCGGCAGTCCTGTGCGGGAGCTCTGGAGGCTTCTTGGGGCCTCACTGTTTTGCTGGAGACTTCCAGGGGCAGACTGGGGGCCTCCTGGGAGGAGTCGTGGGGCCCTCTTGGAACTCCTGCGCAGCTCCGGGAGCCTCCTCGGGGGAGCTCGGGGAAGGCTCTGGGCAGGCCTCTGGAGGGGAGGCGCCACTCAGGCGGTCCCTGCGTGCCCAGCGTACTGCGGCCTGGGGCCCCCGCGGGGCGGGCTTCCGGTAGATGAGCGGAGGATGGTGGTACTGGTGGTGCCGGGAGGTATGACAAGAGGAGTGAGGTGGCAGGACGAGCAGAGTAGAGGCAGGCGGGACAATGAGGGAGCTAAAGACGGATGGGGGGAGTGGGGAAGATGGGTGGTGGAGGGAGGAGGTGGACGTAAAAGATAGATGGAGGAGGAGGAGGACGAGGAGGCGGAGGAGGAGGAGGTTCGAAGGAGGACAGGGGGACGGAAAGTGAAAAGGAGAGGGACTGGGAGGGGCAAGGCGGAGGAAGTAGAAATGAAGGGGGGATGAAGGGGGGATCACCGAGGCGGGGATGGAGAGGAGGATGGAGGGAGAGGATGGCGAATGTACGAGGTACAGGGCAGGAGGCAAAAGGAGGCGGAAACGTGAGAGAGGAAGGAACGGAGGAAGCTCAACACGAGGAGGATGTAATAGGGTTGGATGAGGGAGAAGCCGACGGCAAGATGGACATGAAGGAGGAGGAGGAGGAGGAGGAGGAGGAGGAGGAGGAGGGCACATGAAAGAGAGATAATGCGAAGTGAAGCTGGGAGACGCATGGATGAGAGAGAAGGAGAAGGAGGAGGAGGAGGAGGAGGAGGAGGCGGAGTGAGGTGGAAAGTGTCTGCATACCTGTGTCTTTGATTTGAGACGTGCAAGAAGTATCTTGCATTCTCTGCTGGGGCCGCCTGAGACCTCTTGGGTGCCTGACGGGTCTCTGGGGAAGCTTCTAGGCAGCCTCTTGGAGGCGATTATGATGCCTCTTGGGGCGCCTTTCGGGGCCTCGTTGGGCCTCTTGGGCAGTCTCTAGGGGCCTGCTGGCGGTCTTCGGGGTCCTCTTGGGGCAGAAGCCTCGAAACGTCGATCAGAATCTCCCTCTTGGGCCCCCTCTGGGGCCCCCTCTTAGGACCGTCTTGGGCGGTCCTGGTGCCTTTTGGGCCGTCGTTTGGCCCTCTTGAAACGTCTCGGGGCCCTCTTGGAACCCTCTTGGGCCGTCTTGGGGTTCTACTGGGGGCCTCTTTGGCCGTCTTGGAGCGGCGGAACGAAAGACATAGACGGAGACTCCTCGAGCGACGCGGGGAGGCATCGAAAGGCAATACGGAAACAACAGGATCCCGCATGAGACAACGGGCGACAACGGGAGACAACAGGAGACAGCGGAAGACCACAGGAGACCATAGGAGACAGCAGGGGACCACGAGAGACCACGAGAGACCACGGGAAACAACAGGAGACAATGGCGCCCCACCCATTCCAGGTCCGGCGATGCCCATACTCGATTCCCCAGACAAATGATCCAGGACCCTTACAGGCAAGCTGTTCAGGCAATGAGTTCGTATATCAATCGGCAGATCGACAAGCGATAAAGCGGGGTAGGAGGAGTGATGCCGATCGGTGGTGGGCTGCGCTTGCGGCTCGTGTCGTGCGTGCGGGGGTGGGGACAAACAACATCCCGTGTGGGAAAGCGCCTGAGCAGAAGGCGATCACAAAGGAACATGCTCTCTTCTAACAATCTCTCAGCAGCACGCCGAGGGGGGAAGTGAGAGGGGGCACGCCTTCTCAGAAGGCGGCGGGGCTTCTCAGACGCCCCCCCCCCGGCCTTCTGAGAAGCCCTCTGTCTTCGGCGAAGGCTAAAAAAGCTTCTCAGAAGGCGGGAGGCCTTATGAGCCATCTGAGAAGCCCCCCCCCCTTTGCCTTCTCCCCTGGGCGCGCCGACAAATCCCTCTCACGATCTCACTGTCGACCCACGGGGCAGCCGTGCTCCGTGCTACGGCCACTTGCAACGGCACGACGAGCGTCACCGGGGAGGCACGACTCAACGGCACCGCGGGACAGCCCCGAGACAAGCACTGCAAGACAACCACGGGTGAACGCGGGGGGCTTCGGGACAACCACGGGGCAACCACACGACAACGGTGGGACAAGGGGGTGAACGCGGCGGTCACAGGCAGGGGAGGCGGGAGGGGGGTATTATATTGGCAGGCCTGGGGGTGAATCCCACTCGACATCGCCTGAGCACGCGCGCGCGACACGAGCGGAAAAAGACATTCGGTTTTCGGGGGGGGGAGGGGGGGGCAATCCGTCTCGCTTCGACACCCCCCAACCGCCACTATGTGCGCACTGCAGTTGAATCCGGCTCCAGCCAGCATCTGGATCAACGGCAGCGGCTCCTTTCAGAGAGAGAGAGAGAGAGAGTGCCCGAGCGTTTCTACTTCTCCCCTTCCTGCATGCGCGCGCGTGGCCGAACGGGGACGTCTGTCTGGAGGACCCTGCTGGGAGACCATACTTGGAGGCTGTACCTGGAGGCCATGCTTGGAGGTCATGCTGAGAGGACGTCCTGGGATGGGCCGCTTAGGGGTCATGCGTGGAGGCTGTGCCTGTAGGTCATGCTGGGAGGGTGTGGTCGGATGCTGTGCCTGGCCGTGCTTGACGGCTTTCGCGTGCCAGTGCAAATCGGAGTGACGCCCCGACAAGGCGCCGCGAGCAGGCGGCATTCTCCCGTAAGAGGGCGGGACACACTCAGAAGTTGAACTTCCCCGCGCAGACGGGCACCTCGACGAACCTCTGCAGCCTCTCTCTCGTCTGGGCTTGTGGAGGACGCGTAGACTGCATGGACTGAACCCGTGGCGAGCCGCCCCCCCGACGAACGACAACTGTCTCGCACCCTCTCTTGCCAGTCTACGATGTGGCCAGGCCAGCTCGCATACACGCATGCCCCACACTCGGACTTGGAATACTCGCGACAACGAACATGCTAGCAGTTCGCCGCGTCCCCAGCTATCCCACAGCTGGCCCTGACTCACTCGGCCGACGGAGGCGCCGGCGCGGACGCCTCGTACAGGTAGGACGTGCCGGCCAGCTCCTCGTAGGCAGTGGTGCCGAGTCCGTCGCCGGAGGCAGGGTCCAGCTCGAACCTGGCTTCGACTCTATCGCGAGCGGGTCGCGGAGCAGGAACCGAGCACGGTGCTGGCTGATGCGAGCCCAGTCGCACCCCGAAAATATGAGCGCATCGGAGCAGTCGCTCAAGGCCTGTCACGGAAACCAGCCAGCGCGGACCATGACCAGTGCATGCTTGCTCGCTGCGTGTGAGGCACTACGCGGCGCAGGCTGTGCAGCGCAGTCTACGTAGCACAGAGTATGCAATGCAACCCTTGTGGTTCAAGTTACGTGGTGCAGTCTTTAGGGTGCAACCTACGTGGTGCAACTCGCCAGCTTGCGCCGCGCGCAACCACCTCCAATGCTCGTCGTCAACTCCGATGTTCGAGCAAGTGTCCCGCCGTCCCACCTGCCTGCCCAAAAACTTATGGTCAGCACACAACTGGGGTGATGACGCCGTGACCCTTCTTATGCAGATCCATGGGTCGGGCGGGCACGCGATGATGACGATGATGACGATGACGATGACGATGGCGATGACGACGATGATGATGACGCTGATGATGAAGATGAAGAGGGTGATGATGATAATGATGGGGAAGATACTGGTAATGATTATGATGATTCCGAATATGGTGTTGATGCCGGTGATGATGATGATGCGGATGTTGATGTTGTTGATGATGATAGTGAGCGTGATGGTGATGGTGGTGATGGTGATAATGCGGATGGCAACGATGATGATAATGATGGTGATGATGACGATGATGATGTCGGGATGCGCCGATGACGAGGGCGACAACAGCAGCGACGGTGACGATAATGTTGATGTCGGTGTTGGGGGTGGTGACGACGACGGTAATGGTGGTGATGAGCACGGTGGTGGTGATGACAACGCTTGCGATGATGCTCACACTGGTGCCGATGAGGACGATGAGGAAGCGTCAGCGTGCACGGACTCTGATGTCATGGCATAACTGTTGTGGAACAGCCGTTTGGTTTCTGAAGGGATTGAAGGCATCCATTTTGAAATGTTTGGAGGAAGACAATTGGGGCAGGACTGCGAAGTGTGCGCGCGGAGACGCGCGCGTGTGGTCAGCATGGTACACTTTGACAAACGGCGCGGCTGCGCAATGATTAGTGAACGCCCGTGTGGCCCCGCATGTTCTCCTTGACAAGCTAGCACGACCATCGTACATCCGAGTGAAAAGTCGACGAGAGGGCGCGCACAGACATTTCGTAATTTACACGGACTGCGCACGGTGTTTGGGGAGATTGCGAGCGCGCATGTGACCCGCCTCTGCTCATGCATGTGGTTAAAATTCTGCCAGGACGCGCTTGAGATGCCAGCGCGTGCGCACGAAATTGTATACTGTGGCAAAAATGATGGGGAAATAAACCTGTGCTGGCCAGGATGATACCACGTAAGGCCAACATTTGAATACCATACACTACACTCATGAACATACAACAAATTGAGGGTGTCGGGTTAATCTTCCACCGGCAGATGGTATGCCCTAGTTTTTGTGTTGGGACAAAGGACAGCATACTTCACAACCTCGCGTGTGGCCACCTCCATTGCTCGTCGCCAACTCCGATGCTCGAGGAGCAAACGTCCCACCCACGCAACTATTGGACAGAACCCAACTGGTTCAGTTACGCGATGGCCGTTCGCACGGAGATCCTTGACTCGAGCGGGCTGAGTGATGCTGATGGTGGTGGCGCTGGTGATGAGGGCGATGGCAACGATGATGATGATGATGCTGATGACGTCGACGAATTTGCTTTCGACGACGATGGCAAAATCATGATGGCTCAAGGGCACCCCAGGACGCCCCCAAGAATCCATCATGCTATGGCGAACAACCCAAGGCCCCCTCAAGGCGGCCCCTCCCCACTGTCCCCGCAACGATTTCCAAACAGCTGGGGGAACGCTCAATCCGCTAGCGTGGCCGCGCTTTCGTTGGACCTTCCACCGCACAGGCGCTTCCCAAAAGGCAAGGGCAACGGTGACTCACTGTAAGCGTCCTGGCTACAATCCGTATTCGAGCATTCTGCGGGTCATTCAACCACGAGCGATGACACCATCACACCTGGAATGAACCAACATCTTTTGTCGCCCACGCGGTGGGTGTGACTCACGGGTGGCAAATGTGGTGCCATCTGCCCCCTGCCCTCCACGATCAGATCTATCTCTCTCGCACCACCCTCGGCGCGCCACCGGGCGAGTCGATGCTCGGCCGCTGACCCACAACGTCGGCCCGCGGGGGCGCGGCAGCCTCGCGCCGCCAGCCCGCGCCACAGGACGGCGAGCCCCAGCCCGCCCGTCCGCGGGGGCCGCCCCACAGAGCAAGCCCCCGACCGTGATGTACCCTCAGCGCACGACACGGAAGGCGAAGAACGGCGAGGCGCCGAAGCCCGCCGCGAGGCCGAGCGCTCCGCGCCAGGCCGAGGGCGGGGACAGCCCCGCCGCAGCCAGCAGCGCCCCGCCTGCCGCAAAGCGGCCTGCTCCCTAGAACTCTCGCCTCGCGCCGACTTGCCCCCCCTGCCCCCCCCTCGGGGGCCTGACGCCGACTTGGCGGTCCGCCCACGGCGCCGTCAGCCGAGCGGGTCCAGGGGCTCCAGGTCGTCGGGCTCGTGCGTCCAATACACGTTCGTGCCGTCAAGAAGGGCCAAGGGAGAGACGCGCCCGCTGAGAGCCTCCAGCAGGACGACCTTCCCCTCGATCCCCGCCCTGGGGCCCGTGCGGATCCGCACCCCCATGCCCCCTGCAAGGGGGGCATGGGCGGCAGCTGCCGCGCTGGGCTGGGGGGGCGGCCTGGCGCGCTGAGCAGGGGCCTCGGCGGTCCTCGGGCGCTCCAGCGCGTCCATGCCCTCGTCGTCGTCAGCGGCCGCCGCAGCGGCAGTAGGCGGCGGCGCGAGCACCAGGCCCGCTCGCACGCCTCCCGCCCCCGCGCCGCCGCTGCTCGTGGCCACCCCCGTTCGCCGCACTGGGAGCTCGTCGGCCCAGCTGTCGCCAGCCAGGGGCGAGGACGGGGCCGCGCGGCCCAGGTCCTGCGAGCCCCCGCCCGCGCGCGCCAGCACCGAAGGGGCCGAAGCAGCCTGCTCCAGCCCCGCTCCAACAGCGGCCGTCTCCACCTCGCCCTCCATCGCGCCCTCGGTTCGTCCCACGCCGCCGTCGGCGCCGCCGAGGGCGGCCCGCAGGCTGGGCAGCGTCGGGCGCAGGCGTGGGCGGCGCCTGCGAGGGGGGCCGCAGCGCGACCACCTCGGCTCGAAGGAGGCCTTCAGCAGCCCGAAGCAGGCGGGTCCCCGAAGAGAACGCCAAGAGGGCGCCGCAAGACGCCTCTTCAGCGTCGCGGGGCCCCTGCTTGCCGGCCACCCCGGGCATCGGACCCCCGGCGAGCGCGCGCGCGGCGCGGCCCTGCGGCAGGAGACCTGATCCGAAGAGGCTAAGATCAGATCTATCTCCTCTCTCTCTCTCTCTCTCTCCTCTCTCCCTCTCTCTCTCTCTCTTTCTGCTATCTTCTCTATTATGTACCCAGCCCTGCGCCCTACTCTCTGATCTCTCTCTCTCTTTCTCTCTCTCTCTCTCGCTCTGTCGCACCCTTAGCTTCTCTCTCTCTCTCTCTCCTCTCTCTCTTTCTCTCTCTTCTCTCTCTCTCTCTCTCCTGCCGCCTCCAACCTCGACTTTCTACCCAAGACCCAAGAGCCCAGGCGCAACCGCGAATCTAAGTTCAAAAAGTCCAGACCTGTCAACACGGCAATCAGAAACCGCCAACCCAGCAGCCTGCCGAAAATGGCGGCGAACTGCAGCCAAACACTTCCAGTAGATGCAAGGTCCCAGGATTCCAACTACCCAATCGCCTACAGAAGCCGGTGGTGAACTTACGTTCGCCAAATCCTGTCAACCTGAGCAAGGACCCCTGTATTGCATGCGCTGATTGGTTGATAAGAGTCCTCCGCCCCTGTGTCCACCCACGGGTGCTGGGCGTTCTAGATTCTAGACAACCTCCACTTTGGCTCTCCGAACATTTCCACCGGACTTCCGTCGTTGTCGTCGCTGGAACAAATGCCAACAAGGTGGCCCAAGAGGCGCCCAAGACGGCCCAAGAGAACTCCAGACAGCGTCAAGATGAGATGGCCCAAGAACAGCCCAACACAGCGCGATTCCCATCAAGTTCTATAATCAGAGCGAGGGGGCCGAAAGGATTTACACCATCCTTGGGTGCGTGCCTGAAGTGGGCTTCCGAGGTGAAGATTATTGTTGTTGATTGTGCTGTGTTGTCGCCTTCCGCGACCCGCCCGCGAACCACCCGCGACACGCCCGCGACACACCTGCGACCCACCCGCGACCCGCCCACGACCCACCCTTGACCCATTCGCGAACCACCCGCGACCCACCCACGTTGCTTTGACAGAAGTTCAGCGCCTACAGCGAGCTTCGTCAGAGCCTCGCAGACTGCCAAACTCGCCGCCACCTCACTCCCGTCCGCCACTGCAGGGGCTGTGCCAACTGTATCTCTCAAGCCCCTTGGCTGAGGATGGTTCCCAGAAGGCCTCGCCACTCCCAGTATCGGCGGACAGATTGGACAGGCCCGCGTCGGCTGCCGCGGGGGCAGCTTGTGCGGCGGTGCCTGGATGCGCTGACGCCATGTCTTCATACGCCGCCGCTCGCCCGCGGCGCTCTTGAAAGTGAAGAAGCCCCGCGGGCGAGGGATCGACCAGCGGGTCCCGACTTCTGGGGCCGCCGCGCTGGCAGTCGGCATAAGCGAACGCGCACGTGTGCGCTTGGCCATCTCGCCTACCTGGCGGTCGAATGCCAGAAGGGAAAGATACTGTAGCGCCGGCTGACGGTGCCATGGCCTGCCTCCCCTTTAGTGTCAAAGTCGGCCACCTTGACAGAAGCAGGGCGACCGTGGAGAGTGAGCCCTCTTCCTGGGAGGTTCACGGCGGGCCTGTGGCTCGGCGTATCACGCCACTCGAAGGTAGTAGGCGCGAGCAGCCTGCTTGGTGATGTCGAACACCTCGTTGACGCATCTGCGGCGTGAGGCGACCTGGGAGGTGTGGAGGGTGAGGGAACCTGCCAGTGCGAACACACAAGGTTGGCACCCCCACGGCGCACACCCTGGGGCTCGCCAGACACGGCGGCGTCGGCGGCCTGCGCAGCTTCGGCAAACTCCGCCGCAACCTGCTCCCCGAGGCCCTAGTGCCCTAGTGTTCTTCGAAGAGACACACACTGCAGGGGGCGGGGAGGGGGGGTAGCAGAGGACGGGCAGCTCAAGCCTGTGGGCAGTCTGGAAGACCATGTCGAAACTCAAGGTGGCCTGTGGCCCAAGGTGCTGCTTGATGGGCACTCGTCACCCGCCCTGACATGCAAGCGTTCAAAATGGACGCCAATGACGTCCAGTAGCCCGTTCGGCACGGGACAGGGCACGACAACCTCAATCCAGGGAAAGGCATGCACGCGTCACCCCATCGCGTGACGTTCATGTGATTATTGAGGGACCCGTCGCTCTGGGTACTGTTGACACGGGCGCCCACGGCAGGTGCGAAGCTTCCGTGCACGGTGGTAGCAGCAGGGCGCGTGTGTGCGAATGAAGAAGGGGCTGGAAAGGAAAGGAAAATCATGATAATTGCAATGAGAGAAGGGAGCAGCAGGAGAGCGGGCGAGTATCGTGATGACTCCCAGAACGGAGGATGGAGGAGAAGGAGGAGGAGGAAGAGGAGGAATCAGAGGACGAGGAGGAGGACGAGTAGGAGGAGGAGGAGGAGGAGGAGGAGGAGGAGGAGGAGGAGGAAGAAGAGGAGGAGGAGTCAGGGCACTCTGAAGAAAGGAAGATGGCAGGCGGACGTGAGCACGAACGAGAAGAGGGCAAATGAATTAGTCTCTGCTAGTGCGTGTTCGGGCCTAGCGTCTCTACCTGTATAGTAACGAGAATGCTGCACGGCGCGGGGCGACACTATCTGCTTGCGGAACAGATGCGGGGCGGGCGCTGCCAGCGAGCTTCAATTTCTTGTAAGCTTTAAAGGGCAGCGCGATTCTCGACACCGTCGCTGCCAAAGACAATGGGCTGGTCGCTTCAGCCGCGTACGCTGCAGCGGGGCCGAGTCCCCAGGCCGTCAGCGTCGATTGAATGAGGGGGAGATCAGGGAGCCAAAGGAGCCTCGAAAAGGGCGGGGCAGGAGAGATAGTGCGGGAAGGAGTCAGGCGCGTCGGCTCAGCCGAATAAAGGATGTGCATCCTCGCAATGGTCGTCCAACCACCGCTGAGGGTCTTGAGCGTGGTCCAGCGCCAGCTCGGGCGCGTTCGTTTGAGTGTGATGGTCAGGGCATACCAGCGCTTCTGTAGCTCTCCAGGATCCGATGGAGCCTGGAGGCCCCAAAGGAGGAGGCATCTGGCAAGCGTGACCGTGAACGGCGACATGAACGTCAAACCGCGGAGCCTGAATGCATAGATGCGCTGGAACTTGGCACGGCGAGGTGGGTTCGCAGCGGCAGCCTCTCTCTGTTCGAGGCGTGCTGCGCGAGCGGCAGCGGCGACAGACTGGCTAGAGAATAACAGCTGAGATTCGTTGCGAGTCAGCGAGCGGTGGTACTGTACAATCAATGTTTGTGATGACCAAAAGAGCGGCGACCCTGCACGGGCCTGCCAGCGAGGTGCACCCTGTAAAGCCGTCTCTTCCCACGAGAGGTCAGCGAGGCGATCGGCGAAAAGGCCCCCATGCGACTGAGGGCGTCGCCGCTGCAGAACGTGCAGCAGATGCAACAGCTAGGACAGGAGCGGATTGAATGACTGGTGGCGGGCTCCAACCCGCCATGGCGGTCAGGTCAACTTTGCGAAAAGAGTTCGGCGGCATGCTCAGCACATCTTGTGGAAGATATACAGTTCGCGGCGTGCATTGGAGACGTCGGGGGAGAAGAACTGCGAAACGTAGTTCAGTGCAGTAAGCACTGATGCGTTGTGCAAGCGAACGGTTGCGTCGCTGCCACTCTGCACAAGCTGGCGCAAATTACCCCGTTGCCACCAATTTTGCCCCGGGGCGAGCCATTGGCAGGCCGGCGAGGCCTCGGGTCCGAAAAAAGCGCCCAAGTACATGGCTCGCCCCGCCACCGTGAAGCCGCCCCATGGAGGTCCGAGCTCGGCCAGGAGCGCTTTCGCGATGGCGATGGTGGCTGGGGGCGCGGCAGACCAGAGAGGCGCGACAAGGCATTTGCGCGGCTTCAAAGAGAGAGGCGCAAGCTCCTCCGCAGCGGCCAGCGAGGCGGTCACTTGGCGCAGCGTGTCCAACGAGTTCGTTTGCAGGCCAAAGTCGTCAGCGCATGCGCCCAGGTAGCCAGCGCCCAGGTTCGGCGTGCCGTTCGGGTGATTCACAAACGAAGCGAGGTGGCGGATGATTGGGCCCATGGCTATCGTCCATGCAGATCCTGATGCAGGGCAGCCCTGCGCCACTCCAGAGCCGATCGCGAACGCGTCGCGGCGCGCGCCGTCGATCTTGATGTAGCTGGAGGGCGCGAAGTACATGGCATGGAAGAGTTCGAGGAAGCCCTGCGGGAGGCCAGAGTGCTCCAGCGCGATGAAGAGCCAGTCCCGCCCCAAGGACGTCAAGGCCACCGATATGCCGAGGCTGACGAAGACTGGCAAGGAGTCGGCATCGTCTGGTAGCCATCCAGCACGGCGCATCTCGGCGTCGAAGCAGGCGATGTGCTAAGTGAACTTGCGTCCACGAACGAAGCCCTGCTGGGCGATGTGGGCGCGCTCTGCCACGGCGCCCTCGATCGTGAAAGTAGCGGTTCCTGCGATGGCTTTGATGTCAGTGTTTTTCAGCGAGAGCGGGCGCGTGTCCTCGGGCGCCCTGTCAATAGTGAGCTCGCCCTGTGCGTTATCGCCCGTCGGCAGGAAGGCGAAGTCGGAGTCGTTCAGATCGCGGACCCAGTGCTGGCCCGAGCAGAGGAAGAAGGAGAGGTCCTCGAGCGCGTCGAGCGAGGATTCGCGCGCGAACCAGGCGGAGTACGGCAGGGAGTCTGGGCCGGAGCCGAGGGGGATGTTCTGCGCAGGAAGGCTTTGATCTGCTTGGCAGGCGCCCAAGCGTCGAGAAGGTCGCCCTTTGGCACGCGCGCGTGGATGTAGCCGGCAACCCTGGCAACGTCGGCGCGCTTCGCCTCGAAGACGGGTTGCCGGTGCGCGCGCAGGGCAGCAGCGATGGATTCTCTCCGGCAGTCTGAGGCCCATCAGGGCCTGTGATTTTGACTCCCTGGATGGCGAGACGGCGTTTTCGCGGGGCCCAAAGAAGGGCCCGACGCTGGGGGGGCCGCATGATCGAACGTAGTTTCTCTTGAGGCAACGCTCCTTCTTGCCCCTGGGGGCGCTGAACTGCCTGCTGCGCAAGGGAAGAGTTGCCTGGCCTCGAGGTCGCGGTGCAGCTGCGCGGCCTGGTTGGCGAAGTCCATGGGGTCGCGGAGCGCGACAGTGCCATTGGCAATCGAAAGGTACCTGGCGCTCAAAGCGGCGGCGGTGGCGACGCAGCGAGTGAGTTGAAGATCTTGGCGCCGAGCGGCCCTGGAGATGGAGCGAAGGGTGAAGACGCCCCCGGCGAGGTAGCCCAACTCGTTGACGTCGCAAGTGGTCTTTCGAACCCAGTTGTCACGAACCAGCTGGGCAGCTTCAGTCATGAGCCTCTTGTGCGTGCGCCAGCGGCTATCGATGGGGACGCGGTCGGTCTTCGCGGCGTCGAGCAGCTGCTGGAAGTAGACGGCGTAGTTCGGGCCGCGGGAGATCGACGGGTGGATGGCCTGCTCGATCAGCGGCGTGCGCGGCTTGATCCCAATAGAGAAAGCGATGGTCGCGCGGTCGCTGAGGCGGTCGTCCGAAAGCAACGTAGCGACGCATGCGACTTCCGCGTTGATGGCGAGTTCGCCCGTGGGGGGGGGCTGATGAGGATGCGGTCGATGGTGGAGACGGTGTAGCCCGAGCGGTTGAGGCGCGTCGGGGGGCCGGCTTCGACCTCAAGCATTGAATCAAAGAGGGCCCTCCAGAACGGCTGCTGCTAGCGCGTGCTGTTGTCGAGGCCGAGGCGCGCGCCCTGCGGCTGTGGCTGGAATAAGCTCTGTGGGGGGCGGCTGACTACATTGAAATCCCCGATCGCGATGAATGTGCGCATGTGGTAGTTCGCCTCCGCCCGCGCGCGGTTCAGCTCCCAGGCCTGCTGGATCTTGCGGCGTTCATCGACAGTGATATCGTGGTTGTGGACATTCATGATGACCACGGTGGCGCGCGTGACAGCGCGCGTGAATGCGAGCTGCTGGGCGCGACCAGGAACGAGTTCGACGCGGTCTAAGAGTGGGAGCTGATGCGGCTGAAGCTGTTCCAGCTCCGTCGGCGAGAGCCACGGTGCGAGCGTGGCAGCGCCACCCGTGGAGTCGTCGCCGTCGATGCTGGGGAACGCCGAGAAAAAAGCATTGTAGGGGCACGGCGGCGCGTCGACCCATGTGCGCAGCAGTGCTTCGGTGCCGTGGGCCTCCTGGAGCGTGATCGCGCACCTGCGCTTCATGCACTTGGCGAGGGCGGCTCGTCTGCGACGGCGGCGTCTGCCCTTGTAGCGCATAAGGGGCCGCGCGTTCCACGTGGCGATGGCAGTCGGCTCCGTGGCGGCATCATGCCGCCAAGGGGCCCAGCGGCGGTTCGGAACGCCGCGTGGCTGCCTCCGTGTCAGCAAAAAGCGCTTGGAATAAAGTAAGGACACTGCCGCGGTCGATGGACTGGCACTGCGGGTGGTCGAAGGCTTGCTCGTTCCACTGGGGGATGGAAGGGTCGGCCTGACCTCGGGTGGTGATCTTGGCGACGGGCGTGGAGTTGCAGTGGATCCCCCCCTTGGTGCGGAAGGCTCTCCACCGATGGTGAGGATAGCGATGCTGCATGAGCTGGAGGAGCTGCTTGGTCTGGACTTCGGTTCTGATCTGCTTGGGGGACTTGTCAGGGGTTGTCTAGATGTCAACCGGCTGGGCAGTGGTGTTGGTAAAGGTAAAACGCTCCCATTGACCAGCTGCATTTCGCATGGCGCGCGGGGGGGCATGGCTCGAGGCACTGCGACAACGCTGTCTCTTTTGACCTGAAGTACGGGGCGTCGAGCGGGTTCGCCATCTCCGAGCAGTTCCACGCGATGCGACTGCGGGTTGGCATGTGCAATCCATTCCTGGGGGTCGTTGGGCAGAACGTCCGGCGCGATGGGAAGCTGGCAGCCAACGGTGAAGAGGTGAAGAGCGTTGGGTCAGGTTGGCGGCCCCACCCAGCGAGGCGGTCGAGGTCCGCGATCGGCGCGCGGGCTCCGGCGAGGGCCAGGGTGTCGCGCATGTGATCGATATCTTGCCGCACTCGCTGGTGTTATGTAGCTTGGCGGTGTTGTTCTCGGCGAGTGCGGGCGACTTCGTCACGTAGTACATCAACTCGGCACTCGGTGGCTGTAGCTTGCTGTTGAACGAGATGGCGGGAACTTTCGCTCGATTCGGCGAGAAGCTGGTTGGCTTGTGCTTGAAAGCGAGTGGCGGCAGTCGCAACTTGACATTGCATGAGTTCACGGAGAGCGACGTTCAGATCTTCAGGTGTCCCAAGGAGCGAACCATGACGTTCTGACTGTGTAGGATGTGGTCCATGTTCAGATCCAGGGGTAGTGTGTCCAGTGACTGGGGTGGCTGGGGCCGCAGCAGGCTGAGATGCGAAGGTAGGAGCCAGTTCGATGTCACGAGCGAGTTGTTCGGCGGCTGCGGGGCCCAGCGGTTGCTCGACACGTCGAAAGTTGGCTCATGGACAGCAGGACCAGGTGGTGGCTCAACGTCCTCTTCCATGGCCACGGCGGGGGCCTCCGGGCGCAGCACTTCCTCCTGATCTGGCAGGTTTGCGGGTAGGTGTCGGTGGTGGACGAGAGGTGTTCCGTCCTGCAGCTCGGGGTTGCGGTTGAGGAGCACCTGCGTGGCCTCGACTGCTGAAGCCTGTGTGGCCACGGTGTTCGAGGTGTTCGCGGGCAGCGCGGCGGCCATCTCTGCGAGGTTCTTCACGTCGGTGCTGGCGGTCATCATGGCGTCGGTCGTCTCGGCGAGGATCTTCGCGGCGCTGGTGGCGGTCGTCTCGTCGGCTGCGGGACGTGGGACCGTTGGAGATGTCATCCCTGTCTGAGGATGCATCAGGCATGATGTTGTAGTACACGCAACAGGTATCAGGGCGCTGTTCAGCACTTCGCCACTGGCCAGCGCTTCGAAACCAGTGCGTACTTGAATGACTCTCGCTGACTGGCTCAGAGCAGCGCTTGATGAGGCGATTTGGATGCTCGGCACAATGCTCGACGTGGCGATCTGGATGCTCGGCGCGACGCTCGAGGCGATATGGGAGCTCGGCACGAGGCTCAAAGCAATGTGGATGGCGGCCTGCAGCGCCAGAACAGTGGGCAGGAATGGACGGCAGCTCGTCCCTGGGTGTGGCTGCGAAATTGTTAGAACTGGCCGTGGACTAGCGGTATACACGCTGCGCTCGCGATGGCGAACCATCTTGAGCCAAAATGGCTACGGAAGAGGAGGAGGACGGCGGGAGACACGGAGCGGGAGACAGGGAGTTGAAGAGAAAACCACACAAAAAGGATAGACAGGGGGCTGGGAGGGCCGAAGGCCGCCGCCGCTGGCGCCGCTGCCGAGCCGTGTGGGACGAAAGGGCCGCAGGCCCCGGCACGCAAAGGTCGAGGCCGTCTGGCTGCCGCCCTCGTCGCCGATGGCCGTCGGCACGCCCTCGCGAGCGTTGTCGGCAGGGAGGAAGGAAGGAGGGAGGGAGGAGGAGGGGGGATGTGGAGGAAGAGGAGGAGGAAGAGGAGGAGGAGGAGGCGGAGGAGGAGGAGAAGGAAGAGAAGGGAGGAGATGGATCTCAGCCCGCGCAGGAGCACTCGGTGGAGGGCCACGGGCAAGACCTGCGGATTTTCCCGAACTGTCGGAGGCTGCCGAAAGTGTCCCCGGCCCGAGGTGGCCCAAAAGGTTCCTGGGGAGGACCGGATGGCCTCCAGAGCACCCCTCGTGAGGCCCAGAGGGCTCCAGGGGCGCCAAGATGTTACGGCCAGGAACATGTCCAAGAATACCCAATATCCGCCGACCCTTCAGCGTGTGGAAGACGGTGTCGTCGTCGTCGTCGTCGTCGTCGTCGTTGTCGTCGTCGTCGCCGTCGTCGTCGTCGTCGCCGTGGCCGTCGTCGTCGTCGGTAAAGAACAAGGGAAAGGAATGTGGTGGCCAAGTTAAAGCGAAGCCCCTTCCCTTTGTCTCTGCCCTGCCGAGGGTAAGGGGGGAGTGGGGGGTGGGAGGGCGTTGGGGGGGGGTCCTGGGTCAGAACACCCCCTCTGGGGTTCCGGCGGGTCCTTGGGGGGGTCGCCAGAGGGGGTCCTGGGGGAGGTCCCGTCTTCAGGGTCGGCGGCACCGGCCGTATGGCCTTCTCAATCAGGGTTGCACGAAGTGTCCTTTGTGCAGTGGTGCGCTGTGCCGTGCACTGTCGTGATGTGGAGCTGTGCTGTGAAGAGGTGTGCAGCATTACGTGTGCCACGACATACGGCATGCGCTGGCATGTTGCGTTGCGCTATTCCATGCCGTCCTATGCTGCGCGATGTTGAATCATGCTGTGCGGTGCGATGCTGCCTCCACCAGGAAGCATTCCGCTTCACTGGGGTCGGGCCATGATCATGATGCTTTCGGGCGCCTGCGCCCAAGCGCATCGGCACGCGGAGACGTGCATGGCACCACCAGCCAGACTCACGGCGAGCCTTGCGCAAGAGCACACAGAGCGCACAAACGTGCATGCACACGGACACGGGCACACAGGCGCCAGGGCACATAGTCATCGGTGGCTCCGCAGAGACAGAGAGAACGGCTAGCCGGGGCCAGTGACAGAGGCTGGCATCGTCGGGAGTCGCGTGCGGATTAATCCTGGGACGCGCTAAGGGGCTCGAGCGGGTCCGAATGTCAGCTGAGAACCGCAAAGGATGAACATCCCCAGGGCAGACTATCAGAGTGTAATGATTTTCCACCCAAGGTTAAGCATAGGGACAAACCTGCAGCGAATGCTGTGTGGGCACGCATGGAGGGAGCGGCGAGTGTGCTTCTGCTGGCTAAAAGGCCATATTATCCGCCACGGTGCCTCTGGGCACGGAGTGGGCGTGTCCTCAGGCCCCTTGCCCAGTCCCCTGAGCCTCTGTCCTCACCCGAGTCTCTTGAGGGCCCGGAGCCCACATTGCCAAATCTCTCGGGGCTTCCCGCTGCCCGTCGCAGCGTGGCGCGTGACTCTTTCGGGCCAGAAAGGGCTCCAAGACTGATCCAGAGAACCCCAAGACGCTCCCAGGACGGTCGAAGAGGGAACCGAGTCGCCGAACGATCGCTCCAGGACGCCCAGGATGGCCGCAAGATGGCCCAAGAAGCCTGCAAGACGACCCAAGAGGCCTCCAAGAGGCTTCCCAAGAGAGCCCCGAGAAGCAGAATTCATTTTTGTTCCTTCGGTTTTGAGCGATTGAGACATTCTCGCTCGTTCCGCTTCCCGACCCCCTACGACGGACCAAGAGGCCACCAAGACCGCTCCAAAACGGTCCAAGAGGCCTCCAAAAGGGCTCCAAGACGGCCCAAGAGACGCCCAGAACGGCCCAAGAGGCCCCCAAGACAGCCCCAAGAGGGCCCCAAGACGGCCCAAGAGGCCTCCAAGACGCCCAAGATGGCCTCCAAGACGGCCCTGGAGCACCCCGAGAGGGCCCCAAGTCGGCCCAGAGAGGCCCCCAATGCGGCCTCTGACGGCGTCAGACGGGCCAGGAATGCTCTGAGACTGCATAAGGCGGCCAAAGAGGCCCCCGAGAAGCCCCTAGAGGCCGCCGAGAGGCCCAGGGAGGCCCCCAAGATGCCTCCAAGAGGCTCCCAGGCAGCTCCCAGGAGGTCCCAAGAGTGCCCCCAGAGGCTTAAAAAATGGCCCCTCCTCCTCCTCGTCCTCCTCCTCATCCTCCTCCCCTTGACCTTCCCCTCCATCCTCCCCCAAATGTTCCCCGAAGGGTTTCTATAACGGCTGGGGGGACACATGGTCCGATAGCTTGGCGGAGCTCTTGCCACAAGGGCGATTCCAAAAGGCAGGGGGCGGCGGTGATTTGCCGTAGGCGCGCCTGTGGGTGGCTCTCCAGGTCTGCAATGCAGGCAAGCATCGAGCGCATGATATGGATAGCATCAACGCGCGCGTGCGCCCCAACCACAAAGAATGTAGGCCCGAGAGTCGCCTAGAGCGATGTGCATCACAGTCTGCTGCACCGACTTGATCAAGAGAAACACACTTTACGCGTGGGGTCGACATTCGGGTCTGCTGGCAACTACCAGCACGCCAACGCAGCAGGGAAATGGAGCGGGCAAAGGCTAATCAGAACTGACGGCAACTACCGGCATCCTCAGCACCGCAGAGGCAACACAAGGCAGCGGGGTAGCTTGAGCGGTTTGGGGCTACCGCAATACCCACATCGTCGGCACCGCCAGGCGGTAATGCTCATCGGGAGCTCGTTGGGGCTAGCGGCCGCTATCGGCATCGTGAGCCGGAGAGGTTGGGCGATCTGGTGAATGTACGGACATCGCCAGCGCCGCAGAGGTAGCGCACGGAAACGGGGCCAGTCGGAGTGCCAGTCCAGGCATCTGTGCTTCTGACAGACCAAGTTATCATGACCTTACGTCTGGATGACAACTCTCGTGGCCCAGCTCGTCCATGCTGGCTGCAGAAGAGCACTCAACGGCGAGGCCAAGGCACGCGGCACGTTCCGAAAGGGGGGGTGGGCCGCCTCCGCTGCCTGCTCCTCCGCAAAGGGGGGAGCGACAGGGGCGGGCGGGCTCGGGGGCGGAAGCGTCCGCCTGGAGTCGGCGATGCGTCGCCGGTAGCTCTGCGATGGGCTCTCGACAGCGAGACCGCACGCGCTCCTGGGCGGGAGGGGCTACCGGGCCCCGATCGGCGATGACTGGGCGAGTTTGGGGGTCGTTGCGCTTTCCCCGTGAGCCCGTCGCCACCTCTCGTTGCCCCAGGTCTTCCTGCAGGTCGGGCATGTCCCCCTACAGGCGGATCTTGGCCGAAGGGCAAAAAAACAAAACATCAAAACACAGATTCAAACATACGCAAAAAAGTCGGCCCCTGGCTATTTTTTGACTCTCTTTGAAGATTTCTCCTGTAGAGGGACCGGCCCGACTTGCGTCTTCCTCTCCCGCCTCTGCCCCGCCCTCCTGGTGCTTCTGCTGCTGCTCCGCCTCCTCCCGGGGACGGGGAGGGGGCGCCCGCGGCGACACGCGGGGCGCAGTGCGGCGCAGGGATAGTCTGCGAGGGGGAGGGGGGGGGGGGGGCTCGTGCCTGCCGGCGCGCGCCGAGGGGGTGGCGCGGGGGCGGCGGCCTTCTTTTTCCTCCCCCCACAGCAAAGCAAGGCCCACTGGGTATTCAAATTTGAGTACCCTGATCTGCTGTCTGCAGTGGAGCCTAGACTACAACTGATGTCTGCAGCGGAGCGAGGGGGCGGCCTTCTAAGACGGGGGGCTTCTTAGAAAGGGAGCCCACACAGCACGTACGCGCCCAACCATGTACATGAACACGGCCCCCCAATCCGCGAGACTGGCCACGTGATACGAATGTTCGCGCAATGTGTGCTCTCGAAACCAGCGTGAATTCGTGCACACACGTGTACGTCCCTTTGTCGCTCCTGATTGGCCAGCGTGGGCCTTTTAAGGGCTTGGAAGTTTTGAAAGATTTCGCTTAGAAGCCTGCAGGGCTTCGAAGAAGTCCCCCGCCTTCTTGACCCCCCTGGCCTTCTTAGAAACCCGCCCCCCTGGGGCCACCCCATTCTGCGCGCAGCGAATATGTGACCAAATCCCTTATGATACGGTCAACCCGCAAAGTAAGGATGAGCGACTCTCCAAACTTATCCTTGCATCCTTCCCCTTCGGCCCATCCTTGGCCGCCTTTGCTGGCCACGCCCCGCTCGCAGAGTGTCGACATTGTCTTTCGAGGCCCTCGCATCCTCAGCGCGCGTCCTGATTATACGTGTTGACTGTATGAGCTCTTGGAACCACCAGTGCAGAAATCCAAAAATCCTTCTTCCTCCCCAGACGGCAGGAGAGCCCAGCATCGAATCGACAAGTCGGATCGGCGATCGGCATGGATCGGATCAGCGGAAATCGGCAGCCGAGTCGGGAAAAGTCAAATCGGCGGACATCGGCAGGCTAGTAGGCCTCTATTGAGAAATCGGAGCCCCAATGGGAATCCGAAATCGAATCGAAACGAATCGGAATCGGAAGCCATCGAACTCGAATCGAATCGAACTGGAGAAATCGAAACGAGCCCTGCCGAAGGTGGCATCCACGGCCCAGGCCGCGACGCCACGAGACGAGGCCGCCCTGGGTGCGCCCCAGGCGGCCAGCTCTGGGGAAGGCTAAGGCCGCTGGCCTCGAGGCGAGGCCTCCAGTCCGCTGCCGAACTTCTTTGCTGCCTCCTCCTCCTCCGCCTCCTCCTCCGCCTCCTCCTCCTCCTCCGCCTCTTCCTCCTCCTCCGCCTCTTCCTCCTCCTCCTCCTCCGCCTCCTCCTCCTCCTCCCAAAAAGCTTCCACTGGATGCGAGGTGCGCCGAGAGCGAGCCCTCTTCTGGTCCGCCCGGCACTGGCCGCCCGCATCCTACCGCAAGAAGCGGCGTGTTCGACCATGGGCCCCTTGCCGCACGTGGGCCTTGGGAGGCCTTCGGCGGTCTTCGGCTACACTCGGGTCGGGCGAAAGGGGGGGATAGCAAAGGGTGGGTTTGAGAATCAGCTCACGTAGCTGATGTTCCCGGCGCCTCCCGGCGCCGGAGACGACTATGTATCGAGGAATGGGCCCCTCGGTGAGGCCGAAACCAGCTGCATGCAGCAAATTTCGTAACCCCCCCTTTCCCAATGCCCCCCTTTCGTCCGGCCCGATACACGCAAGAGAAGCCGTACGCAAGAGTGACCTCTGGTGCGCGACGTTCGAGGTCTGCGGGGAGGCCACACCAGAGCGCGCAAGATGCTGCTGTTGCATCGCGTTCAATCCTCTGGGGATCCCAATGTGCCCGCACCAAAGGTCACCCAGGCGAAAGGTCACTTTTACGCGACGTCTGAGTTTTCTGACGGCCTTATGCAGTCTTCTGACGGTTTTCTGACGGTCTTATGCGGTCGTCGGCGGTCTTCTGGCGGCTTCTGGCGTTCTTCGGCGCGACAGCTGGGTGGCTGCGTTCAACAAGGGGCCCATGATCGAACACCTAACACAAGGCGCTCGAATGTGGTCTGCGCCACCCGCATCAAGGGCCGGCCGGTGTCACGCCGCAGAGCCTTCTAGATACAGGGTCGCCACGTGGGCAAGCGCGTGGGAAAGCGAGCGTCAGCGAGTCCAGGACGACGGGGGGCAAAGAGGAGCAGTCAGCGGCTGTTGGCCTCCACGACCACCCGCAGCAACGGCTCCTCGTCCCCAGGAAGACGGTACACGAACGACGTCTGCAACTCCCGCGAGTCTGCTTCCAGCGGGGGACCTCCGGGGACCTCCGGGGAGCAGGATCCAGGGCGGAAGCAGAAATTGTCATCCTTCTCCTTGTGGACTCCTCCTTGTCCTCCCCCTTCGCCTGCTCCTACGTCTGATGCGCTACAAGCGCTGTCAATTCAAATATGATCCGCGGCTTCGACGTCAGGACGCCGTGTGCCGTTCACAGCCACTTCGCAACAGATGGTGCAATCCGCCAGAGAAAACTCGAACGCATGCAAGAGTGACCCCAGGCAGGAGTGGCCTTTGGTGCGCGGCGTTCGGAGGCCGCGGGGGGGCCTGTGAGCCCGCACCAAAGGTCACTCCAGCGAAAGGTTACTCTTACGCGTAGCCGAAAACAGAGCGTTCCCACGTGCTGCCTTGCCAGCGCCACGCCTGTCTCCTCCTCCTCCTCCTCCTCCGAGCACCTCATCAGTTGGGAGAGGGGAAGGAGGATGGGTGCGTGAGCCCCTGAGGGCTCGGCGGGAGCGTCTGGCTCCGACGGCTCTCTGGTGCCGTGGGCCACGGGTGTCCTCGGCTCCACGGCACCAGCAGGACCCCCGCGGGCAGAGCGGAAAAGGGCCCGCCCAGGCGTCGGACCCTCCCAGCTCGTTCGGCTGCCCTCGTTCTTCCTGCCATTCGCCCACTAATGGTAGGTGTGGTCACTTGTGTGGTGAGCCGTTGAGGCCAAAAAAAAGGCTGCCCTCGTTCTCCGGAGGGGCACATGAGGTGGAGGAGAGGTAAGAACAGCCCGTGTGGGGACTGGGCTACCTGAGGAGGTCCGAGAAGCCAACCTAAAACCGAATTACCAAAGAAAAGGGAAGAGGAGGATGAAGAGGAGGAGGAGGAGGAGGACTTGAGTGCGGAAGGAGGGGAAGCGAAGGGGAGTAATAAAGAAGGCGAGCGGCCCGAACTCCAGTGGCCTCGTGCCTTGTTGAGTTTGGGGCCGCTGCGCCTGCAACGGCTGCTTGAACGACACGATGCCGTTCAAGCAGGCCAAAAAAAGCGGACACTCGGATGCCGACGCTAGTTCAACGACAGGGATGGGCATCCCAGCTCGCACGAGTGCCGCATGACGGCGCAGGGGCAATGCAGTGGGCAAGCTGGCCGGAGCCACGGGGGCAGGGTGAAAGCGGCCAGGGAACCGCTATCTCACCCAAGTGTCTCAAGCAGGAACGTTGGAGGACGACGGAGGATAGAGGGGGGGTGAGTGGCCCGAGCTCCAATCTCTCCCGCCTGTGAAATTCGCCCGCCCAACGGGCCAGAGGCGTGCTAAGATCTACGGTAACAGCTTTAGCATATCTCTCCTTCGCGCGCGCGGGGCGGCCCCTGGGGATCCCCGCACGAAATGTGCGCGGACGTACATTTTCCCCAATCCGCCTCCTCAGTCTTCCAACGTCCAAAAACGGCCTCCGAGGTTCCCAAGATCGCCACAAGACAGCCGAAGAGGCCCCCAAGAAGGCTCCAAGACAGCCCCAGGGAGCCTCAAGACGGTTCAAGGAGCCCCGAGATTGGCCAAGACGGCCTCTCGACTGCGCCAAGAGGGGCCCACAGGAGCAACCAACCAGACCAGACATTTCGAACCTTCGGCCCCCAAACGCCCCGAGGAAGCTCCCGGAAGCTTCCAAGAGGCCCCAGGAGGCTCCAAGAGAGCCCACAAGAGCCTTACAACGCTCTCACAAAGCCCCCTGGGGCCCCCAGAAGCTAACCAACTCCTTCCAAAACGTCTTCGAGGAGCCTCCCTCGAAACTCTATCAGCCATCCGAACGGCTTGAGGCACATCATTCAGGCACGGTGGTTGGATAGGCCCACGGCCACTCGTAGGTGCCTCGCCCCTCGGCCTCACGCCAAACGCGTTCCAAATTTGCCGACGCCTCTTCTTCCGTCTTCTCGTGGCCCCGCCAGCAGGCAGTCCGCTGCTGGCAGCCCCCCTTCTGCTCCCGCGGGAGCGCTCCATGGCCAATGACGATGATGTACTACTGGGTCCTCGTCGTCCTGAATGGGCTTGTGGGCGGTGCGGAGCCGCTCACAACTGGGCCAGCCGTATTCGATGCAGATGCGGCAACGCGGCGCCCGCCCATATCCGCAGTCGCGCCCAAGAGGCGCACAAGAAGCAGCTCGCCGCCAAGTCCGAGTCTGGAGGTGGAGGTGGGCGTGGAAAAGGAAAAGGTAAAGGCAGAGATGAATCGGGTGGACTACTTCGTGTACAGGCGCAGTTGGATGAGTTGGTCAAAGCGCTTGGACGTGGAGAGTTACCTGATAAGTCTGACAAGTCTGAAGGTAAATCAAAGCGAGCTCCTTGGTACAAAGATCAGGTCACTCGAGATCGAGAAGCCGCTGAAGCTGCTCAACAGGCCGACCCTGGTTCCGATGATGCGAAGAGAGGTCGTTTGGTTGTGCAGGCTAATGAGTTGGAGGAGTCGCTCAAAAAGGTCCCATCAGGTGATGAATTTGATGAGCTGCGTTCCAGTATCAAGACAAAGTTGGAAGCACTACGTGGTAATATCAAAGAGCTACGGAATCCAACCACGGCGCACAGGAGGGCCACCAATGAGTTGCAGCGTGCACGACAAGCGGTGGCCCGACAAGCAAAAGAGTTGGAAGAGAAAGAAAAGCAGTTTGAAGAGTTGCGTCAATCGATTAAGGAGCGTAAGACGAAGCTCGAGACCAAGCGTGTTGAAGTGGCAGAGTTGGTTAACGAAGTTGCTCGTACATCTGCTCTGCTGGCTGCTGAGTCTGGTGAGGCGAAGGAACCGTCAGCAGGCATCAAAATCGAGATCGACAACCTCGACCAGATGTACACCAAGTACGAAGGTGTCGAGGCCTTCTTCAAGAGTGATGCGTGGGTGGAGATCCAGAAGAATATTCGTGTGGTTGGCTCTGTTGATGGCAGTGTTGGGGCTTCAGCTGCAAGTGCTCCTGGAGGTGCTGCTGCTGCGGGACCCCCTGACAGCGAGATGCCTGCAGCTCCCACTGGTGACACCGCCACCGACAAGCGCAATTTCTCCGAGCTCGACGCCAACAGTTTGCAGGAGCTCTGGAGTGCAGGAAGCTTCGAAGACTTCCAGGCTAAGATTAGCGAGATGCAGGTCAAGAGGCAAAAGTGCGGCTCCTAGCCCGCATGCTGCTTCGGCAGCGGCCCTGGCCCCTGCAGACCCTTGGGCAATTTTGACCCAGAATTGCAAGGACCGTCGCAGGAGGCCGGGCAAGGTGGTGCCGCGAGTGACTGGATTGCGACCGAAGATTGAGGTTCCCACAGCCCCTTCACTGCTGACGGCGCCGTCGCACATGTTGGAGTCATTCAATGCTAATGGTGGTAAAAGGACTCTCAAAAAGCGACTTCAGCGTTCGTGTGCCATGGTAGTCATGGTCCAGGAGACGGGCTACCTGGAGAGCGAGCTCGAGTCGCTGCAGACGTGGATCAGTGGACGAGGATGGCAGATGTTGGCACTGCCTGCACTTCCCTCTGCTGGAGTACTGCCGACAGCTGGAGTCGCAATCTTTGTTCGTAGTCAATGTGGAGTTCGTGTTCCCCCTGGCCTTTGTGAACAGGTGGTTCAGCATCGAGTGCTACATGTGGTACTGGACCTGCCAGGATGGCCGCCGTTGCATGCCATCAACCTCTACCTCGTGCCGAGCATCGGCGCGACCACTCTGAACGCCAAGTATTTTGCTGCAGTTGGCAAGCGTTTCAGCGGGGTGGAGGGGCCTTGCTTAGTCGGGGGGGATTGGAACATGACACCTAGTGCTGTTGAAGCTTGTGGCTTCAGTGCTCTTGCTAGTGCTACCCTCGTCTCCCCATCACACTACACGTGTAGAGGAGGGGCGGGTTCTTCTGTCATCGATTTTTTCGGGCTCAATGATCCGTGCATGCGAGCGTTTAAGGCAGTAAGCGTTGACAAGAAGTGGACGGTTCGTCCACATCGACCAGTAATTTTGGAGCTTGCGAGTAACGGGCATGGTATCCAGCATTTGGTATACACCGCCGCACCCAAGCTTCCAGTCACGGCCCCCATTGGACCTCAGCCTGCTCCCCCTAGTTGGTCGTTCGTCGAGGGTCTCGTCGATCGTTGTTCGGAGTTGGCTCATGATGAGCAGGCTGATCCTGGGGTTGCTTTCGGAGTTTTAAGTGCTGCCTGGGGCCATTTTGCCAAAAGAACTGCCAGGTACGTAGCTGAGTGCACGGGCACAGATGCTACGAATTTTGCAGGTTTCGGTAGAGATATAGCTCCGAGGTGGGTAAGCGTTGACTACCCCGCCCCCAACATCTCGGAGAAGGTTCTGCTTGCTGAGGGGTGGTCTTGGTTGCGCAATGCTGTGCAGACCCTTCTCCAGATGTCGTCCCTAGACGAGGATGTCGAGCAGCAGGTCCTGTATGCTAATGAGGTTGCCACCTTTGCTGCTGACGACTATCCAGGATTTGGTCTCAGTGCTAGGCTAGATAACTCCTGTAAGCATGCACGTGAGTTGTTTGATGATGGGCATCTTGATACGGATGCCGTTCTAGTGTTTCTCGAGCAGATTACGGGAGATGTTGAAGCTGCCCAGAAAGCTGCTAATCGTGAAGCTGATGCCGATTGGAATGATTGGTGTGAGACTGCGTCATTAGGGGGAGCCAGGGGCCTACATAGGATCACCAAGGTTCGGAGTGCGTGTCCCCCCACTGTCGTCCATGATCCTTTAGGCCCTACGGCTGACCCCCATAGCGTTGTGCAGCATGAAGCTCGTGTGTATCAGGCGCTCTGGAAAGCTGGAGCGATTCCCCCTCAGGCATGGATACCTGATAGACAGTCTTTTCCAGTCGCGAGTGTTGAGGACATACGTAAAGTGATTCGGTCATTTCCTGAGGGCACAGCAAGATCTCTCGATCAACTGCACCCTCGTCATTTTCAGCTGCTAGATGATAGCGGCCTCATGGTTCTTGCTAAACTTTGGCAATGCTGTGAAGCGATAGGTCTCCTGCCCCGACAATTGCTCTGGGTTTTAATGCCAATGCTGCCGAAACCGACAAGCGGTTATAGGC